TGAGTTCAAGGCCAGCCTGGTCTGCATAGTGAGTTCAGGACAGCTGGGGCTATAGGGAGACCCTGTCTCAAAAAGACCAAAAAAACAAAAACAAAAAAAACTGGCTTAATGTGGTCACGCAGGCCTTTAGTCCCAGCACTCAAGGCAGAGGCAGGCGGACCTCTCTTGAGTTCCATGCCAACCTGGTCTTCATAAGGAGATCCAGGCCAGCCTGATCTGTAAAAGGAATTCCAGGCCAGCCAGGGCTAACCAACCAACAAAACCTGAAGTAGCCACAAAGCAGTTGATGCAAAGTGAGGAGGGTGGAGCAGACGGAGCATTGGTGGCGTCCTGTGAGTCCTGTGACCTGCTGCCACTGCAGCTTGCCCTTCGGCTCTTCAGGAATGATGGTGTTGTCTAAGGACCCAGCTCTTCAGAAAGGCTATTGTAGCATAAGTGCCTTACGGAGCCTTTTAGAAGAGGGGCAGTTAGGCTAGGCTTTGTCTTGGAAAGCACGCTGTAAATTAGTCCTGCCTGCCTGTTGCCCCCAGAGAGGAAAGAGATGGCATAGGACATGGACCTTTCCTTGGGTCTAGCCCAAAGCATTCAGTCTGGGTATAGTGTTTGACATTCTAAAGCAGTCTTTCTATTTAGGATTGATTTCTGACTTTATACTGAGAGGGATACCTGTGCTTTGAAGAGTGCTTAGAAACCCGAGCTGTCCCTGCTCTGTACCCTTCTGCTGAGACTCTCAGAGGACTGTTTCAATTTAACCAGGTATCTTACACATCTTGGTTTTTGGATGCCTTCAACTATGCCATCCTGAAGAAGGTTGATGTGCTCAACCTCAGCATCGGTGGCCCCGACTTCATGGATCATCCATTTGTTGACAAGGTTGGTCGAGTCACCACATGGGGTCGTATGCTGGGTGGTGGCTTCTTCTGGTTTGCATCATTTCTACTGAGGTAGTGACAGCTTTGAGAGAACAGATGGTTAATGACATGACCTTTAGTGACTTGCATGTCAGAAACCCAGTGGGTTAGAGGTCTGGGAAGAGGCGTTTGTAAGGAGCGCCTCCCTGGGGTCCCTGACGCCTTTATGCCTAAGCCTGTACTCTGTGTTTTCCTGAGCTTGGTCTTTGTGTGTGCCCAGCCTTGTGTTCAGAGGACTGTCTGAAAACACTTGTAACACATATCCATCCTGCTGGGGCCGGTGCCACCTCAGAGGGGCTCTCCTCTGTTGGGACTACTTGTAGATGCTACAGGGTTTTGGGAACACTGGCTTGATTATTATGTTCATTGGTACTTGTTCATTAACTCAGTGCTTGCTGCTTTTGTAGGTGTGGGAATTAACAGCTAACAACGTAATCATGGTATCTGCTATTGGCAATGATGGACCTCTTTATGGGTAAGCAACCCCAACAGGGTGGTCTGAGAGATGCTTGTTCCCCAGGATAAGGAAACAGTTATCTTCCATCTGTGTGTCTGTGTGTGCATCCTTGTTCACATCTTTCCAAGCTTGGTGTTATGTTTTAGAAAATGGAGTGTGTGATGAACCCTCAAGTCCTCAATTGTCAGTTGAAGCTAGACTTCTTTCTTGTTAACGTTTTTAAATTTGCTGTAATTCAGAGACCTGCCATTTTTATTCTAACTCCCCCCAGCCCCCACCCACCCCCCAAAAAAGAACTAGGATGGATCTGGGGAGATGGGAGATGACTCGGTTGGTAAAATGCTTATTACCATGCAAGTGTGGGGACCTGAGCACCCAGTTTCAAAGAGCCACATGTGGCAGTGTGTACCTGTGACCTCAGCTCCCGGCATAGGAGTGTAGACAGTAGATCCTTGGGGTTTGCTTGCCAGCTAGTCTAACGAACTGAAGTGCTCCAGGTTCAGGGAGAGACTGTCTCAGAAAATATGGTGAAGTTTCAAGGGATCTGACACCCTCTTCTGGCCTCCACGGGCACTGCATGACACAGGCACACCAACCTACATGCAAGCAATACACTCATACACATAAAATAAAAATAATAGCTGGGCGTGGTGGCGCACGCCTTTAGTCCCAGCACTTGGGAGGTAGAGGCAGGTGGATCTCAGTGAGTTCAAGGCCAGCCTGGTCTACATAGTGAGTTCCAGGACAGCTGGGGCTACAGGGAGACCCTGTCTCAAAAAGACC